TCAGAAAAACAGCAGATTAGGAGCTCTAGGCTCTAATTTCACAATAAAGAAACCAATAAACAACTACAAACTGACTAAAATGATTTTACAGGAGCTCTAGAAATCAAGCAAAAATTTATAGCAACAAAGCAAACTTCTATCCCATCTTGCCCCCTAAAACAGAAAAGAAAACCATATTCAAAATGGTAGGAAATATTTCAGTGATTTTATTTGACTCTGCCATAACTCTTCTTCGTTTTGGTGGCATTGTGAGGTGAATGCCCAATTCCTGAATCCCTCCTTTGGGGCAGAAGAGCAGAATAGAGGTTGCTTTCAAAATTTTGGCCTAATTAGGGACTACGTCAGGGATGGCATCTATCTTGCTGGATTCAGAGTTCATACAGGAAAACAGCATTGCTCAGAGTTCACAGGAGAAAGGCAACAGGACTCAAGAGTTCACACAGGAAAGGAAGCAGTATCCACAGTTCACAGAGGCATGGCAGTGTGACTCAGAGTTCACACAGAAAGGGCAGCAAAACTCAGAATCCACACAGGAATGGCAGCAAAGCTCACAGTTCACACAGGAAGAGCAACAAAACTCAGAATCCACACAGGAATGATTGTAGAGCTCACAGTTCACACAGAAAGAGCAGCAGGGCTCACAGTGCGCACAGAAATGGTCACTAGGCTCACAATTCTCACAGGAAGAGCAGCAGGATTCATATTTATACAGGAATGGCAGCAGGGCTTACATTCACACAGGGAGGGCAACATGACACACAATTCACACTGGAATAGCAGAATTGTTAGGATAAGAGACTTGATCCACAGAAGGCATTGGTGGACACCACAGGACAGGAAAACTAAAGAAAGTATATAGATACATGAAAGCCTGAGGCAAGAAATTATAGGTAAGAGATATATTAGAACATATTTGGCCCTAAAAAGCTAAGGTTAAGACTCTTTGAGAATCTAAAACATTTAAAACTGGCCAAGGAAATCAGAAGGGGAAAAAAAGCACATATCTGCAGAGATATGTGCAGAAAAGAACTAAGAATACCATAAGCCTTTACCCAGGGAAATCTCAAGACTCAGGGAAACACTAAATGCCCAGTCCTTATCAAATGATTACACACACACACACACACACACACACACACACACATTAACTCATATCATCACAACAAAAAACAAAACAAAAAACAAGAATAAAAATAATAGGGGAATCTGACCCATGCTAATGAGAAAATTTTAAAAATATATGTATTTTCTAAAGGATTTAAAAGCCCAAATAAAAAATATATATATATTGTGCAAAAGCAATCTCTGGAGAAACACACGCTAAAGATTTTAAAACAACTCCTAAATATTTGCAATAAGTTAAAGAAAAATATGGACAAAGAACTAAAGGAAATCAATAAAACAATGTACAAACCAAACGAGAATTAAGTAAAGGGATGAAGCTATTTTAACATATATAAAAGGACTAAAGAAAAATTCTGGAAATGAAAGATATAATAACTAAATTGAGAAAAAAAATCACTAGAGAAGTTCAAAAGTAGATTTGAATGGGCAGAAGAATCAAAAACATGAGGATGTCTCTGGAAATAATTGGGTCTGAAGAACAGAATGAAAAAAAAAATGGAGAAGAGTGGACAGAGCCCAAGGCACATATGGAACAATATCAAGTGGACCAATACATGCATTTTGAAATTTGTAGAGTCAGAAGAGAGAGAAACAAAGGCAGAAGTTTTTCCAAATTTGAGGACACAGAGATATTCTAATACATGGAGCTCAGTGAACTCCAAGCACTAGAAACCCAAAGACCTACATCAAATGGCATTATAAACAGACTATCAAAGTCGAAGAAAAAGAGACAATCTTGAAAATACCAGGAGAAGAGAGACTGGTCCTGTACAAAGAGTGACTATCAGGAGTTATCTTAGGAGAAAACTTGCATGTCAGAAGACCGTCAATAATTAGTGACATAAAAAAGTCAAACTAATATTCTTCAAAAATGAAGGAGAAATTAGACAGCCACAAAAGCTAAGGAAGCACATTATTAATGGAGGTTCTCCATAAATAATGCTAAAGGGAGCCTTTAAGCTGAAATGACAGAATGATAGACAATAACTCCCAGACACATCAGATGGAAAGTTCCATGAGAAACACAAATGCGTGTACAAACATAATAATCATGATTACCAAAATTTTGCTTTATACTCTGCTTTTTATTTTCTACAGGATTTAAAAGCCCAAATCATAAAAAACTATGTCTATGTTAATAAACACATAACATATAAATAATAATTTACATAATATATATAATTTACATATACTATGCATACTTCTGACACCAGCAATTTATGTGGGTGGAGTAGAGATGCAAAGTGCTAAAGTTTTTGTATGCAACTGAAGTTAAGTTACCATTAAGTTAGATTCTTATAACTTTAGGATATTGTATCTAATCCCCTTGCTAACCACAAATAAAATATTTATAAAATACACATAAAAGCAAATGAGAACAGAACCAAAACATGTCATTATGAAAACAAAGAAACACAGGAAAGCAATGTAAGAAAAGAGGAATGACATGCTATAAAGCACACTGAAAACAAATGGCAAAATGCAAAATAAGGGCTACCTATCCAGAATTGCCTTATATAGATAAAACTCTCTAAATCAAAGGTATAGATTGGCAGCATTGATTATAAAAAAAGATTAACTATATTACTGTCTTCATGCAAATAGTAACCAAAACAGAGCCAGCATCACCATACTAAATCATACCAAATAGGAGAAGTAGAAAGCAATTGCAAGATACAAAGAAGAATGTTAAGGTGACCCTGTCATAAGAAGAATCAATTCACCAAGAGGATATAACAATTATAAACACATAGGAGCCAAATACAAGAGCTCCCAGACATAGTAAGCAAACACTGAAAGAAATGGAGATAAAAATAGACAGTTCTACAAGAAATAATAGGAAGCTTCAATGCCCACCTCCAATGTGGAAAGAACAACCCAACAGAATACCAAGAAAGACACAGAGAATTAAACAGCACTTAGAACAAGCATAAATAACAGACAAAATAAGTTGTTCCTCTTCAAATAGCTGAATACACTGGGATTGATATCCTGAACAAATAAACAACTTCTATGACTAAACAACAAAAACAAGCAAAAACTATGACCTCATTCAAAAATGAACAAATAATTCAATTAGACATTTCTTCAAAGGTTTATTAATGCCAACAAGCACATGAAAAGTGATTCAACATTATTACTTATTAGTTTTAGTGAGCACATAGAAAACTCAGAATCCTTATACTTCTGCTGGAAATATTAGGTGTAGACACTCTAGATAACAACCTGTCAGTTCCCCAAATGGTTTAAATATGACCAAGCAATTGTACTCCTATCAGAGAAAACACAGGTCCACAAAAATTTTGTACACAAATGTTCACAGCAACATATCTTTAATAGTAAAAAATTGGAAACAAACCAAATACCCATCAACTCCTGAATAAACCAACAAAATGTGGTATAATAGACCAATATTTGACAATCAAAAGAAGTGAAGTACTGAGTGATATGTGCTACAATGTGAGTAAACTTTGAAAAAAAAATATGCTGAGTGAAAGAAGCAAGTCCCAAAGGACACATATAATTGCATTTATATAAAGTGTCCAGAATAGGTAAGCCTATAGGAATATGAAGGATGAGGTTTCCTAAGGCTGCAGGGGACAGGCATATTATACAGCGATGCCCAAGTGACATGGGGGTTCTTTTTACAGTAATGAAAATGGTCTAAGGTAGATTGTGGTTATGGATGCAAAACTGTGAAGGCCACTAAATTGCACACTTGAAATGAATGAACTGTGGAACATGTGAAGTATATCTCAAGAAAACTGTTATAAAGGAAAAAAGATATGCTTGTCATAATAATCATTGGGAAAATGCAAACTAAAACCATAATGAAAACTATTAAGCACCTATTTTAATTATTAAAATACATAGTTTTTAAAATGTGACCATAACGAAAGCTACAAAGGAAAATAGCAATTATTTCACTCATACAGTAATGGAGAGAACACATTAAATATCTATTAAAAACATTTTGGGGGGGGTACCAGAGATTGAATGTAGTGATGCTTAACCACTGAGCCCCATCCTGAGCCCTTTTTTATTTTTTATTTTGAAAGAAGGTCTTGCTAAGTTGCTTAGGGCCTTGCTAAATTGATGAGGCTGGCTTTGAACTTACATCTACCTGCCTCAGCTTCTCCAGCTGCTGAGATTATAGGCATGTGCAATGCACCAGGATAAAAACATTTTAACATACTTATTCCAGTGATTTATTCATGGATCTGTATCCCATGTCCGATGTCTTTAAAGAGAGGCTCCAAGTCTTATAACTCTCCAGTTCCTGGAGCCCTGTCCTCTTTGGTAACTTGTTGCTAGTAAGTATGGTTGGAATTGGATTGAATCAGAACTACAGTCTCACACTTAGAAACCAAATCTTGATTCTGTCCAGTCATCCTTAAGGCCTATATATAAGGAAGTCTGCATACAAAAGTGAGAACCATTTTCATCTGAAGTGGACACTTCTCCATGTAGTTTTTTAAACCCATTACCCACAAAGTTCCTGCACACATAGGCCTGCCACAAATACAGACTACATTGGTCAATTTGTCATGAAGGGAAAGCAAGATGAACAGTGTTCCTTATTCTAACCGTATATACTGAGAAATTTCTGATATAAGTTCTGCAGAAAAGATCAAATTGCCTCATAAACACATAGTTGTCAGTTTCAAATCAGACAAAACTCTAAGCTTTTAATGTTTGACCTCTATGCACTTAAGTCCCCCTCGCTACCTAGTCCCATAGGCTCTGGTTACTCCAATTTTCAAACAAARGATGGTATGTAAGGTCAAAGACATTGTTCTTCTATCTGAAATATAAAATAAAATAAATAACTAAATAAACAAATAAGCCAAAACAAAACACCACTCTTCACTTACAATACGCAGAAGAAGGTCCAGTGGGTCTCTGGTTCTGAGGCTGTAAGTGGGTCCCTGGAGCAATATGAGATTTCTTACTGGAGTCTTGCAAAAGCATCAAAAACACCTTTTTGAAAAAAAAGAAAAGAAAAAAGAAAGATGCATGTTTTATGATTCTCCCCACATTACATTTCTTTTGCCTCAACCACCCAATGAGGTCATAACAACAGCATCCATCAAACATACTCCATATTTCATTTAATTGGTATAAATCTAAGGCCACCTGGTTCTCAGCAGGTTGGTCAATAGACTGCTCATAATATGCAAAGATGAATGTAACTTGACCTTGAACCTCAGGACCCATACATGCTGGCAGAAGCTGGTCAAATCTCAAATAGCAGAAGGCAGAGGGAGAGAGGGAGGGAGGGAAATCAGTAATAGGATATATCCAATTCAAATCAAATTTGTGACTCACTGTGCCAGCATCTTAGAAACTCACAGGTGAATCAGACGATAAATGTGAAGTCACAATTTAAATCATTCACAATTTATTTAGAGTAAATGGCAAAAAAATCCCCATTGAAAGTATGCTCTCCCCACTGAAAGTATGCTCTCCATGTGCCATTTCACTACAGCAGTTAATTTAAGTAACTTGTTTGAAGTCAATGAGTAGTTAGCAGTGGAAGCAGAAGCCCAACTGTGTGTTGGGATCTGTGTGTTCAGATCCAAAGCAACAAGAGCATGATGAAGAAGGAAGAGTGTAGCTAAAACAAATGGGGATGTGGTGGGCTGGGGACACTGAGGCTTTTGAACTGCACCAGGAGACCTGGCAAGGATTTATGAAAAGATGAAGAGAGAATCCCTAACACACATATTGGGCAGAGTGCAAGAAAAGGGCACATTGGTCCATGCATAGAAGTCGAAAGAGCCTCGGCCCTGCAGCAGTGCAGCCCTGTGGTCAAGGGCTGAGACTCCACTGTTGGCAACATTTGCACCACCTCACCAACTAACAGTGTGGACTGTCTTGTCTGTAAAAAGGCCTAATGACAACAGTAGTGTAAGTTCAGTAGAAGCTGATTGTAAAGGACTTGGTTACAGACTCTAGAACCAGGTAGTAGCTATCCTATCATTCATGTCTTTAGCCAAGATTTAAGGAACATCTTCTTTTTTTTAATATTTATTTATTTATTTTTGTTTTCGGCGGACACAACATCTTTGTTTGTATGTGGTGCTGAGGATCGAACCCAGGCCACACGCATGCCAGGTGAGTGCACTACCRCTTGAGCCACAACCCCAGCCCCAAGGAACATCTTCTATGGGTCATACACCAAGTGAGGCATGTCTCCTTTGGGGTCATCTGTGCATGCGCTTCTGCTGAGGGCCATTGCCAAGTAGGAATGACGCATCAAAATTTCCTTGCCAGCATACCCCATGTTAAATGGACTTGTCTTGGAAATCCGCTGTGACCTTGCATGTATGTTTGAGAAAGGTGACCCTGCTCAAGGACGAGGGTGGATCCAGGTTTAAGGTGTATCCTGCAGGTGTGAGGAAGTATCCCTATCCTTGGGTTTAGGGTGTTCCCGGTTTAAGACAATGTGGTTTTAGGGAAGTTCCAGGTTTAAGTTTATTCCTGCTGGGAATAGGGCSTTCCTGCTGCCTGAGTTCCCCTTGAGTTCTTGTGGAATTAAGAAAGTATTTGGGACGTGAATTGTGCGGCAGAACTGGGATTTCCCCAGAACGTGTTTGTTGAAGGCYGGTGTGAGTTCAGGAATAAAGAATTGCTGTTTGAATCTACAAAGCTGTGTGGTGGCTCCTGATCTTGTGCCCAGCCAAGACTACGGCATGCTTCCATCCCTCCTAATTGTGTATACATCCAAAATAACTGAGCTCATGGCCCTCGACCCACTTTAAGGGGTACAGTTCCATTGACCATCAGCAGGTACCTCACACTCAATGTGTCCATAACCTCCCTGAAGTTCTGATTTCTGTAAATATCATCATCATTCTGATTCCACTAAATAAGCCAAAAGGCATGACTGTCTCTGTTTATTACTGAGAAGCCCCCAGTCCACAGGGGATAACAAAGGAAGGGCCCCAGAGAGAAGCAGCAGAGAGCAAGCAAGCCTGTAGAGAGAGGCATACAACCTCTCTGCATGTGGTTAATTAGTTTGGATGGAATCCTACTGAGCAAAACCTGCATCCACAACAATGGTGAAGGTCAGGAGATTTCATTAGATCAGATGCAGTTACCTTCATCTGAAAGATAACACTCTTTTCCTTTTCCCAATAACATCTCCAGGAAAGACTGCAAACCTCACAACCACTGCAAATAATAAGGACGATGATGATTCATAACAACATTCTGAGTGTGTGCCAGCCCTGTGGCCTTGAACAAATTATTTTACCACTTTGTGACTTAGTTTCCCAGCATGGTAAGTGATAATAAGATGATACACATTACAGGATWATTGTAAACAGTAAAAAAATGCATTCACAGGGAGAGTGGTAAGAACCACTCCTGGCATACAAGAAATGGGCAATGTCTGGTTCTAAGGGTATCCAGAGAATGTTCATGATATATGCATACTTCATCATGAAATCAATCCAGTGAGACAATTATTGTTATCACCACTTAATAAGATGATGGCACTAAAGTTTAGTGCAATGAGTGTTCACTAGTGCATTTATAAAGAACTGAAATTATAAACAACAGAAGTAGTATGAGTCAAGAATTGTTCACTGAGGAAGAATTTTCCTTCCTATTTCATTCTAAATGGAATTTTTATTTAATGGTCACATGTACCAGTGAATATTATAAGCATTTTTTGACAATAAAAGATGCATTTTAAAAAAATATTTACCAATCCTTTTTTGAAGTTTCCATCTCTTCCTGTTCTCATGAAAAAGGCTCTGTGCCATTGTGAGTGAATGTGTCTGAAATGTGTGTCACACGTGCATATATGTGTGTCGAAAGAAGAAACAAAGAGCAGAGTTCTTGTTCTCAATAATTTCACAGATCAGCGGAGGATGTGAGCCTAATACAAGACAACACTAAGAATCAAGGTACCTTGTGTCAGAATTTCTTCAATTTGGCACGTGAAAGGTGAAGAGCAGATCTAAGAAAATAAGAATGTGATGAGTGCCATCTAGTGTTCAATCACCTTAACTACAGGCACATTAACCAGAAGTCTCTAAGAAATGAAAGAAACCATCAAAAGAAGCTCAACAAACAGAGTTGATAAAGGTCACATTTATCAAAAACAATATGATACTGATCGCTGTAGTCAAAGATATGAGCTCTTCCTAGCAGATAGTATGTATTCTTTTAGCTGTAATTCTCATGCTAAATGAAAGCACTCAGACAGATACTGTGAAACTGCTACTGGTAAATGTCTCGTGGAACCCTAACACCCAGAATAGAACATTACCAGGGATGTAATGGATGTTGTTTAAAAAGATTCTGAACATTACACTGAGTTTGTAAAATGGAAGGTTCACATTATAAYATTAATATCTTCTAGTAAAAACTTTACATCTTTATCATATTTAAAGGCCAAATCTTCTCAAAAGACTGTTTAGACAGTCAAAGCAGGATAACATGTTTTCTTTCATTTGTACAATTATAAAGAGGTGTAAAATTTTTTTGCAAAAAAAAAGACAAAAAAAAAAAAAAACAAACAAACTCCCATTAAGAATGTGAAAGGCCTTCCAACACAAACCTTTCTTCCAAAAAGATAGCTTTGGCAAATCCATAGGAAGCTATTTGAAAGCAGGGTAAAAGTATAACATCTCAGCCACATTCCCCACAGTTTAAGAAGAACTTGTATTTGTGTGCTTGATATAAATTGATATTATGCATATACACATCTTCCTCCTCCTTGTATGCATTTTTCTCACATTGAATTGAATGGAGGCCTTAGACCAGCTCACATGGACCAAATAAAAACTATGCCTGCCTCTTTTATAAAAAGAACAAGAAAGTTGTTTTCGATCTTATCTAAAATATAGCTTTAAATTCAGTGCCTATGAGATTTCTGCTCTTTCTCCTCAGGGGACAATAAATTCAACACTCTGGGGATTCTTCATCTGGGAACTTTGTCTTCTTAATTTAAAAGAGCTTTAGGGTCTAAGTATCTATGATGGCCCAGTGTCATCTCAACCCTGATGTGCTATCAATCCCTCAGACTGGAGTGCAGTGGTTCATCCTTCTATATTCTCTGTTTAAAGGGCATTGTCAAATAGTGTTAGACCCTAGATGTGATCCACATTTAAAGTGTCAGTATGATGGACTATATCCTGGAGATGGTCAGCACAAGGTGCCTTTTGGCTTAGATGCCGGAGAAGTTGACGAAGTTGACAAAACTTCTGTAAGAAAATGACAGACTAGAAATTACAGAGTCCAATTGAGTGATGGCATTAACAGAAGAATTTCCAAACTTTAGCCAGAATGTAACAAAGACTGTATTCTTTTAGTTTCCCCAAAGTGATAGGTTTTTCTTGCTTGTTTCTGCTTTTGTTTTTCAAAAGAAAACGATGGCACCATGTGAAGAACTTAGATGATAAACATGAAAGGTACCTCACCCAGTCTCCAAATACAGGACTCTTAGCAGATTATTTCTTGTTATGCTACACAATGCAATGGTGCAATTACAAGATTGTATTACTATATAGCAATGCTGGGATATGATCATTGAAATAAATAATTATCATAATGAACTGTACGTACATCATTGAATAAAATAAAAAGCTGTGAGTTGCTACTGATATTATAAATAAGTAATTCAGTAAAGAGACAGTTCATCCTCCAAATAATGCCAACTGAATGAAACATGTGGAATGAATGATAGAATTACAAAAATCACCATGTGGCAAATGGCATAATAATAATTAATTTGGGCCAGGAATATCAATGGATGTGGAAACTGGTGGGTGAAAAAAAGTAGAATTTAGAGAATCTTAAATGCTTCTTCAAAAAATAATAAAGAAGAAAGGAAATTAAACTTCAAGTGAAGCCTGCAGACATCGCCTCACCTGGGTGATCATGGGTCTCCTCACCAGCACCATAGGCCAAGCCATCGGGATCAAGGAGACACACATCACTCCTACAATATTCCTGACAAAAATGCA